CCTGGTCCTATACCACTAAGCCTAAAGTCAGCCGAACGCATGACCAACCAACTGGTCCAGAAACTTGCCAGATTGGGGTTTCTCAAATTCAGTCCATCTGGGCCCTCCGATATTGCCCTGGTAGGATTAGCAACCTGGGTCCCCCAATATTCCCGCGTCCAGGGGCACAGTCCCAACCAGTAAGAAAACTCAACCAATCATCCCGGGCTGGCCCCCGAACGTTCGGGCGTTCAGGGTCTCGTTCGGGGGCCGAACACCTCCAGGTTTGGCCCCCGCCAAAACAAATTTCGGGGCCTACACATGAGTTTTTTTCCCTGATGTTTTTTTTGTGCGTTCTCTATGATGTAACCTACACGCCTATAAATTTTGAAGCCATTCTACTAAGCCCAAAAAACATTACAAATCGTAAAAGATGGGGGTGTCAAAACGTGCTCGCCCACTCACTATTTTGTTTTTTTTAACTTTTAACTTTTTGTTTTCACTTTATTTCGGGGCCTAAAAAAAAATATTATTTTTTGATTTTTTTTTAATGAGTTATTGATTATGTAAACTACATATCTGTAAATTTTCAGGGCATTTGTCAATGCCAAAAAATAATTAAAAATCGGCAAAGATGGCGGTGTCGAAAACGTGCTGGCACACTCACTCATTTTAATTCTCTTTTGATTCTTTTTTATTTTAATCATAGTGTTTATTTTCTGTATTTGATTTTTAATTCAAATTTGCTAAAGAATTTGGATGTAGTGCGCGGGCAAATGTTATTTAGTTTATTTTTATCCATAACATGTTTGTTTTTCGGAAGTTTTTGAAAACGTTTTTTTTTTTTTTTTTTTTTTTTTTTTGGGTCCGCGTTCAGCCCGAACGGCCGATCCCATCCCCAACGGGTCCCATACGTTCGGGCGTTCGGGTTCGGTCGTTCGGCCCGTCCCGAACGCCGGTTACCCTGTATATATATATATATATAGGGTTGCCGGCGTTCGGGACGGGCCGAATGCCCCAACCCGAACGCCCGAACGTTTGGGACCCCCTCTCGACACGTTCGGACGTTCGGCCGAACGCGGAACAAAAAAAAAAAAAAAATCTGAAAAAAATATATGTTATACAGAAGAATAAAACAAACAACATTTGCTTCAACGTTACATCTAAATTATTTACCAAANGAACTGCCCGGTAAACCGTAGGCAGAGAGAGAGAAGAGGACAACAAACGAGGGGCTGTGACAAACTATTTCATCGGAGTTTCACCGACTCATCAGGAGGCTGAAACCTCAACAGTCTGCAGAATCCCCTCATTGATTACACTGTAAATGATAATCTACCTTAACCAAAATCAAAGTAGACTATCACTCATCCACAACAGATGAAAAACTCTACAGACTGTCGGTTCACACCCCATCACAAGCCAGCAAAACATCCACGAAACAAAGAAAGGTCTGTCACAGCCAAAAAATACACTCCAGCTATATATATATATTATATACAGGGTAACCGATGTTTGGGACAGGCCGAACGCCCGAACCGGAACGCCCGAACGTATCAGACCCCTTGGGGATGCGTTCGGACGTTCGGGCCGAACGTGGGCAAAAAAAAACCAACAAAGTCATTTAAAAAAAATGAAAAAAAAAATGTTATGGAGAAAAATAAATTAAACAAGATTTTCCTGAGCATTACTTCCGAATTCCTTACCAAATTTGAAATAAAAATAAAATACACAGAACAAATACTAATAATAAAAATAAATAAAAATAAAAAGAGAATTAAATTTACTGAATGCGAGAGCATGTTTTTGACACCGCCATCTTTGGCGATTTTTAATTGTTTTTTGGTATAGCTAAATGCCCTGCAAATTTACAGATGTGTACTTCACATAATAAAAAACCCACTAAAAAAGTTTTAAAAAATAATAAATGTTTTTAGACCCCGAACTAAAGTGAAAACAAAAAGTAAAAAGTGAAAACCAACGTGGGCGAGCACGTTTTCACACCGCCATCTTTGGCGATTTTTAATTCTTATTTGGCTAAGGCAAATGACTTGAAACTTTAGAGGCATATACCTCACGTCATAGAGAACTCATAAAAAAACATTCAAAAAAAAATAAATATTTTTAGGCCCCGAAATAATTTTTGGCGGGGGCCGAATGCCGTCGGGTTCGGACCCCGTACGGGACCCCGAACGCSCGAACGTACGGAGGTCCGCCCGGGGGCCTCCGTACGTACGGGCTGGTAACCCTGTATATATATATATATATATATATATATATATATATATATATACAATCAAACAAAGTTGTTTGGTGAAGTATACGCAGAGAGGGAGAAGAGGACAAAAAACGAGGGGTTGTGATAAACTTTTATATATATATGTGTATGTATGTATGTGCTTTACGGTATATCTGTATCCAGTTTCAATGTATCTCGACTAGTAACGAAAAAGTCAGTAAAAACACCAAATTCGGGGAGAAAATTGGCAAACTCTGAAAGTTACTTTAATTAGGGATTTATAGTACTTTTGAGTTTTTTTTTCCCTTCTTTTTTATGTATGTATTATAAAGCTTCATTGTTTGTTCATAAAATTTTTAACGGCATTGCTTGTGGTGATTCGGCGAAAAACCCCTAATTTGGGTCTTTCATTAACTATATTTCACGTTTACAGACAATTATCTTTGACGAATACTCCAAGTATCTACAACATAAATTTGATGCATATAGTGAATGTGCATATTATAAGAAGGAAGTTATAAATTAATACTATTTTTTATTTTTGCCACATAAAGTCATCTGGTTGCAGTTTAAAAGGTGAGTAATAGCTTGTTATAAGAAATCAGTTTGGTTTATACGTACATGAAATTACAGTTTATTATTGTCAAAATTTATTCGAATGTCAAACCCTCATAACAACCAAGTTAGGGTATGGTATAACTTAATCATCACACTCACTAAAACTGTTAAAATTAATTGGATAAATTAGTTTTCGATGAAAGAAGCATGCACGGTATTGAAAATATTAGTGAATATAGTTTTTGATTCACGAACACTTACATGTCAAGAGTGTAACAACAGAAGATGGCAGGGAGTACGAAACACAAAGACAATGAAATCCCAATCGAATAATTTTCAACAAGGGAAGACTAATCGATGTAAACTTTCATCGATGGTTCTCACCAGATCAGTAATGCAGGTTTTGCCTCTAGACTGATAAGGCCAAGGATTGGGGCAAGCCTCACCATCGAAGGACTGGGAGTTATACATTTTCTCTCCTGCATGAGAGTGATTTCCGGAATTGTTCGACACACATGATTCAATTTAACACTTGTTAGATTTTTGCATAGCAGAAAATACTTGTTAGATTTTTGCATAGCAGAAAGAGCTTGTTAGATTTTTGCATAGCAGAAAGAGCTTGTTAGATTCATCCGACCAACAATTTCAAACGTTTGAAGCAGTGCACTTTCAATAACAATAAGAAAAAAATGATTCAATATTTTACTATGTTAGAAAAATTAATTTTCTGAAATTTTATATTGTATGACAAACAAGTGGTCGAACCCAATGTCGGCTAACAAATCGGACCTATGCAATACGAGACCCTAACAATCACGAAAACTATCCCACAACTACATCTGTTTACACAGACTGTGCCAAGTACCAAGCTCAACGATCTTGTCTTGCCCACCGTCTTCACGTATTTGCTCACACTCACTTGCATGCTGAAATTGCTCATATGCGATATCATAATAACAACCACTTGTATTTATACTAATGTTGGGCTGGGAGGTCTTCCTATGCCAAGGTAGAAGCCTTGACACTTTCTCTTGCTTGGATGTTTGACTCCCTTAGTCGTTCGGTTAGAGGGTCAAATGACTTTCATTATGACCCCTTTTTGAAATATAAGGTTTCATGGAACCTCACTATGCTCGTACTTTGGCTGGACGTGGATTAGTGAGATTTTTAAAGACCCATGATACTTCACTCATTACTCGCCTACAGTTGGTGCTTGGACTGCACCAGATGAAAATAAGAAAATTGGTCTTACACAACTCATGGGGCCCTTTTATTGCGTGAATCTCTTTTGTCCGCTTGGGCTTTGATCGACCGACATCGGTGCGAATACCCTTACAAAGGTATCCGCCCTGGTTTTTGCAGATGACATACAATAAGTTTAGTTTAAAGTTTGGGCACATCGGGCGAGATGCGACTGTGTTGGTGGCTTATGTTGACTAAATGGTTGACTAGAGTAGAAAGTGTGTGGGCGTGCAGGCTTGAGGCGCACGTGATCCTTTTACTTGTTGATGATTGTGAAGTCGGCGTGGTTGCCGA